AAAGAAAGAAAGAAAGAAAGAAAGAAAGAAAGAAAGAAAGAAAGAAAAAGAGACAACCCACACCTGTTGGGTTATTGTTTCAAAGATATTTCCTTACCTAAATGGAAAATGAATGACCAAGAGTAGGCCAAAAAACAATGGGAGCAGCCAATTTCCTGCTGGCTTCCCCATTGTGTTTCCTTGTGGAAATTTGGTAGGGAACAACAGAAATCTCCATTCCCTTCCTTTCTCTCTTCCCCTTTCAATAGGCAGGTAATCGGCTGCTCTCATTGTTCCAATAGGCAGATAAGTGGTTGTTGCTGGGTGGGAGAGGGAGCAAGGGATTGTGAGACTAATGGCAAACTGTCACAAAATAAAGTTCACATAACCACACTAGCAGCCAGCAACACTGAAGCAACCACAATCTTTCCAAATTTCATGCCCTCAACAAGTCATGATGCCAGATTTTGGACACCTGCTGTAGTTTAGCTCATTTGAGGGACCTTGGTTCACAATGTGTTACCCTATGAACAGTGTTTCACCTAGTTCAAAGTCATGACAACAAAAGTTTTAATATCAAAAGTGGTTTTTATTTTTGAAAAAGCAACTGGGCCTTTTGATACAACTATGACCTGGATGACTGAGAACCTTGATAGACAAAAATTTTAGTAGTACGTAGATTATGCCATTGCAAATAATTTATGCTTCACTATAGACTTGTGACCCTTAATACCACCTTTGAGAGCCAGTTTTATGAAGAGGATAAAGCATCAGGCTAGTACCATCTAGTCCTGCTTCAGGCACAAAGGCAGCTGGGCGACCTTGGGATAATCACTTTCTCTCAGTCCTAAGAAGGAGGCAATGTCAAACCACTTCTGAGAAACAGAAGAAACAATGTGTATTATCTTCAGCAGTCTGTATAAAATTTAAGCACTCCTACTTTGTAATGTTTCCCTTTTGGCCGAAAGGAACATGAAATGGAAGGTTTATGATTGAATCATGTGAATTGGGAATAGAATATTTTGATTGAATGGGGCAGTAGAAATGTTACCTTTACTTTTTTGGTAGGAAAGCTAATTATCAATCAGAATGGAGCTGGAAGGGACCTTGGAGGTCTTCTAATCCAACCTCTTCTCAAGCAGGAAACTATATCATTTCAGACGGGTGGCTTTCCAGTCTTTTCTTTAAAATCTTCAGTAATGAAGCATCTACAACTTCAGAAGACAAGCTGTTCCACTGGTTAATTGTCCTCACTATTAGGAAGTTTCTCTTTACTTCCAGGTTGCTTCTCTCCTTGATTAGTTTCCATCCATTGTTTCTTGTCTTTCCTTCTGGTGCTTTGGAAAATAAGTTGACCCCCTCCTCTTCTTGATGGCAGACCCTCAAATACTCGAATAATGCTATTATGTCACCCCTAATCCTTCTTTTGTCTAGACTAGCCATACCCAATTCCTGCAACCATTCTTCATATGTTTTTGTCTCCAGGCCTTTAACCATCTTAGTTGCTACTTAGAGCAGAGAAATAATTGGTTAGGTTCATATAAAATGGTAAAATGGTTCATCTAAAACACTATGCCAGGATTTAAAAAAAAATACTTGAAAAAGCAATTTTGACTTGATTTGTAAATTATACTGTATCATGCAAGGAAGGTTTTTACATTACACTATGTCAAAAAGAACATACCAGGTTAATGGACAAATTGCTGTCCCTCCATTAAAATCAGAAACTTGTACCTACTTTAAAGTTTAAAAGCAATAATTAGCATACCAACATTACTTGTCAAGCATTGGACAGTAAAAATTTAAATATTTTATTTTGAGATAAAACTTGGAAGTGTAGTACATATGAATAATACATTTTATGCTTTTCTCTAATGTAGTAAAACTGGCCATTTGGGAAGCATCACTGGATAATTTTGTAGAATCTATCCAATCAATACCTGAGGTACTTGCTATTTTTTTCATTCTTCCATAAAATTAAGTATGGGAATTTTGCAGATTTTTTACACCATACTGTAGATGAATGAATTTGGATTGTTGTATTTACCACATCTTCCTGGACACAAGAAATGAATTGAGATTTGCCAAATCAAAATTTCAGTGAAACTGTATTAAATTTGAACAGTTAAACATGAAACACTTTCAGTTAACTTCAGTGACTTTACAAAATGCTTAATTAAACTCATGTCTCAGGAGAAAACCCTGCTGTTTTAATTATACCTATTTTATTTTTGTTGTGGCAAACTATTTGCTTGAATGTAGATTGACTTCATGCTTATAATCTTCATGTCAATAAAGCTTCAATATACAGGATGCCAAATAGAAAAACCTGCATGAAATTTGAAATATAAAAATTTAACTTCTCACAGTTAATTAAACTTAGACTTGTTTCTTATTCACTTTGCAAATGATAGAATATGGTAAAGTTGATCCTTTTGTTAGAAAATGAATCTCTGTAATAGAGTTAAATATAGGAGTAGAAAGAGGAATAGGCCACCAATAAAAATGTATAGACTGTTCAGAACTCTAGAGAAGTTGTCAGGAAAGCTAAAATTCAGAATGGCTGGCATATTATACTAAGGAAAGAAGAACGTTGTCTAAATATGTTCAAAGTAAAAGAAAAAACAATCAATGTAGCAGTTGTATGTTGAAGATGGCAAAATATTGTGTTCCCTAGGTAGTAGTGAAGAGCAAAACATAAGGACTTGAATTGAAGGTTGGGTCTTATAAAAACATAAGAATATCTAATTACTTTGAATCAATCCTGGGGATTTGTCATCTTTGGTTCTGCATTGGTTGATTTGCATCAGACAGAATCAGTGCACAATCTGGAGGTCCTCCCAGACTCGGGTCCTCCCAGAAATTCAGGATAAATCTTTATTGTCATCAGAATTGCTTCTGCCAGTTCAAGTAAAGAGTGCAGTTGGCATCGGGATGGGTAATATTGTACATCTAAAAAACATCAAATGTTCTTACTGGTTTATTACGTTCTTCTTACAGATGCTTAAATTAAGAAAGAAACTGAAACTCTCTCATGCTGATGTTATGCAGAAAATTGGGGAACTGTTTGCCTTGAGGTATCTGAATTAAAGACAAGCCAAAAGATTGCATTTTAGAGTCAGTTTCAAAAACAATCTTTAAAAAAAAAACACCCCATGATAGTATTCACATATATATGTATATAATATACTGCCATGTATAATCCGCTTTTTAAATGTGTGATATTTCTAAAGTGGTACAATTATATTTCTTCTGCACCTAGACTATTGTCCTTTAATAGAACCAATTTTTAAGAGAAATCAGAGTTTACATGTATCAATCTAATACCAATAAGCATCTTCTTATTTTCCTGTTAAAATGTGATTTATTTGCCAGGTCCTTACTTTTAATTATCTTCCATCACATATCACCACAAAGATAAACATTCTTCAAACTAATCCCATTGTATATTGTTTTTTATTATTATTATAAAAAATATTATTTTTATTTTTAATACCAGTAGTTTTTTTATGTAGTGATACTTATATTTCTACCTATAAATCTAGCATAGTCTTTTAAAATGTTTTATGTTTAGAGTAAAAAATAACATTTACTCCTTAAGAAGCCAATTCACTATGAGAGAACATGGAAACCCTTGTAAGGAACAAAAACCTAAAGAATAGGAAACAGTCTTAAATACAACGGAAAGGCTCATTACAGCTAAGCCAAAGTCACATTCCATTAAAATGTCAAGATTGTTTGGATAATTAGAATATGCCCCATGAAATGATGCAAAAATCACTATGCAAGGGGTTTTGTTGAGATGTGACTCATATAAATGTATTAAAAACTGGAAATGATAATGCTTATGCTGTTAAATTGTAAACTTGATAAATTCTGTATTTCCTTCAACTCCCGATAACCTAAGTTTATAGTAATATACATATATCCGCATAAATAAAAGGTGATAACATGTTGTATATAAAGCTTTAATCAGGTTCTAAAAGAATAGAATGTTTATTTGGAGATGAAAAACTTAACTGTAAGTTCTGTAGCACTGAGAATGTAACAAAGTTTTTTGCTACATGAAGGGTGTTTGTCCAAAGAGTACTTGTTTGTCTCAACTTATTACAGTGCAGTATTCAAAATACAATTCATCAACTGGCTTTCAAATAAGAATTTATCTTCTCTTCCTCAGGCATCATATAAATCTGAGTTCTGATCTGTTGATTACCCCAGATTTCTACTGGGACAGAGAACATCTTGAACAACTGTATGATAAAATGTATCGGTTTCTTAGTATTGATCGCAGAGTTAAGGTATTATTTTATTTTTATCTAAGTTTAGAGGATTTTTAAAAAAACCAATCTTAACAAATCTTATTTTTCTGTTTTCATCTTCATTGTTTTTGGACAAACATTGTTATACTGCCTGCTGCACTATTTCTTTTAGGAACAATTTATAAATATTTTCTATTTGCATAAAATGGTAGTCCAATTCTAAATTGTTTAGCAATGTGTATGAACTGTATCATTGGATTGTTCAGAAGGACGAGTAGAATGCTAGTTTTGAGATGCTTCTTTCTTGTGATTTTTGTATAGCTGTTCTCACTACCAGGAGGAATGGTTTAGGCACAATCAGCTTCAACATGCTGTTGTGAATAAGCCAAATTCTAGATTCATTGTTTTATGCAGACATAACCAATGCATTCTGTAACTTTCGGGGAAGTTTTATGACAAGTTTACCCTTTTTCTTAAATTCATGTAATTCTGATGGGTGGAGGAACAGTTATTACCAACAATTTAGCAAGTGGAGTTTTACAGAGAAACTTGCTTTTACAGGTTCTCTGCTAACTGTTTTGCTTTTTTCTAGAGTACTTTCTGATTAATGGTTGACTCTAAAAATTACTTGGATGTTTTTTCTTAAAATATGTACAATATATTGCTATTGCAGAAGTGTATCTTGGTGTCCCCCTAGAAAAAGATGGTTGTTAGATGGCAACAAAAAAAATGTTTAGAAATCCTAGTCAAGGAAAAGTTTAGAAATCCAATCAGGAACTTGTGAATATAAAGTACTACTTTCTACAAAATTCACTTTTCAGTAGAAGAGAACATAAGTAGGTCAGAGTTGAACTATGGAGTCATTGGTGCTCTCTAAACTTGGTTGTTTGCAGATGTTTCATTATTGACAAAGTAACATCAGTGCTGTGAGTGTGGGGCTTTCCCTCTCTTTATATATACAGTAGTTTGCCTTCCCAGTGTTGGTAGAAATGTAACTTTTTCTTTGGTAGTTCCTTAACTAGAGTATTGCTTTTTGCTTGTTTTGTCTGTTAATCCCTGATTATCTGGGTGTAGGATGCTGGAGAGAATGTGTTCTGGTCTTTTTTCTTAGCTTTTTTATTGTCTCTCTGAAATGCTGTGTAAATGTGATTTATCTCTATTTGTATATTAATGGATGAACTTACCTGAAAGCTGAGCTTCCAGGAATTGTAGTTTTTTGGATTTAGCTTGGTCTAGGATGCTGTTTTCCAGTTGAAATTACAGTTCAGTCTTTCTATGTGGTGTGAGTTTTCATTGTATCTTCCAGTTGCTAAATGCTGTTCATTAATGTGTTCTGCTATCTTCTGCCTGTCTGTCCTACACACCAGCTGTTACAGTCCTTACACTTTGTTATAGATGAGTTCTGGTCTTTCTTCTTGGCTAAGTCATTTGGTTTACATAACATGGTTTGGAGGGCTTCAGTTGATTTATGTACTACAGTGATGTGGTTATAATTGTCTATTGATTGTTTCTGAAATGTTTTTGATGTATGGTAGTGTAGCAGGAATCAGTTTAGCTTTACAGAGCATTATTATTTGGGATGAACCAACTCACTAGGTAACAATCTGTAACAATATTCATGAAACTTTCCCTAGATTCCACATATTCTTACTGGTTTCTGGACTATAGTTATAGGTAGTATTAGTATGTAAGTATATGTTAATTCAGTAACAGATTGAACAGGTAGTTTTTGGCTGCCCTTGATATAGCCCAGTTGTTTGAAATGAAATTAAGTAAAAAGGTTTATAAGTTTGCTTTTTAAGATGTGATTGCTCCCATGACAGTATGAATAATGGGATTCAGGAATAAAATGGCCTCACTACTGTCTTTATATTAATGCACATGGATAAAAAATGTTTTTAAAAAACTTTACAGAATCTTCACAGTCCAATAAGAAATGATGAAATTGACAATGCCATTTGGGGAACCATGGATTTTAGAAAACAGACTTTTTATAGAATTCACATTATGTATATATCTAAGTATGGCCTGACCCACAAGATACATAATGCTGCATGGAATAAGTATTAGTAGTAATCTAATAATAATAAGGTAATTTTGATAAATACATAAGTTACCTTAGGATTCTGCAGCATTTTAACTATAATTTTTCATAGTGAAATCTGACACATTTGTGCCCCATGTATCTCAAATTTGTTTTTTAAGTTAAGTAATTTTTTTCGGACAGCAAGTAAAAGAGCACAAGAAGCTTTTTTTGACCCCCCTGTGTTCCATGATAGAGAACCTTCAGCTATGGCTTTTCAGGAGTAAAATGCTGCAATTAAGCAATCTATGTGAATATATAAAAATAGATATGTATTCACACTGTCAAACTGAACTGTTTTACATTTGGCTTTATTTCAGGATTTGCTTCTACTTTTGTGTTGAAATTCTCTGCCGTTAACACTTTATTAAAGATTTGAGCATATTTAACCCTATTGCATTGTTAGCTGGGTTTTGCTAATCTAGACTTAAACCTTGATTATTAGTCAAGTATACTAGGTTGTGATGGGTATCTTACACAATTTAACTAAATGCTTCAGAGAGCAATTGCAATGAGGGCTGTTACCTAAATATTTCCTTAAGTTCGATACAAGAAATGCTGAATAGAAAAATATATTTCCATTTAAGTTTATAAATGCATGCAAGTGGAGAAAGAAAATTAAAGCCTGGGATTAATGTTGCAATCTATTGTGTGAATGCTGAAAAAATCACATCTCCCAAGACTTAAGAATTGTTCTGAGTACTGAGTCTTAGCTACTCTAGTGTATTCAGTTTATAAAAACATTGTGATATAATTCTCCATATTTTCTATTTCAATAAATTCATCTCTGGAAGTAACTTATATTGAGAAATTGTTTATTCAAGGTTTTCTGAAACATCAACTTTTCTATCCTTACTACTGAAGGTAGTAAATGAAAAGCTCCAGCAGTGCACAGAACTGACAGATCTGATGAGAAATCATTTGAATGAAAAACATGCTCTGCGGTTGGAATGGATGATAGTGATACTCATCACAATAGAGGTTGGTTTACTAAAATTGTTTCTTAAAACATACACAGAATGTTGAAAAGTTCACTGAAGAATATTGAAAAGTTCTGTTTCCTTAGACAAGGGACAAGTTTCCAAATAACTTGAAAATATTTTCCATAAATTTATTTAAAAGTAAGGAAATCAGGATAGTAAATAGCTTGTCAATTTTACTATACTATTTTACTTTAACCCACAGCCTTATTTTATAGCCATATAAATCAGACCAGCATAAGTTCATTACAGTGCATGTTGGATCACTTTGTATATTCCAAGGTATGTAGGCTGGACAAAGATTTAATGATAATTTAATGTTTTACATGCTGTTTACATGTATTGAATATTCTATTGCCTGTTTTACTTTGTGTTGCCAATAGTATTGTTTAGAAATTCAATGATGCAAGATAGTCCCAGTCAAAAATACAATGGAAACCTCTTCCTCTGTTGTCATTGGAGTAATGTATTCTTTATTAGATATTATTTGTTCAGCAAAGGCCTAGAAATTCTGTCCTCCAGTCCTTCCTGGATAGTGTTGTATCCATACCAGAAAGTATGAAGCTTATTCATGCTGCAATACCCCAAATCATAGGAATGGCCTTGAGTTTTTCCAAATGTATAATGCAAAGGATGAGAATAGATTGAATACATGAGGAGTAATCATAGTAATTACGTTTAATTAAATAACATTTATCTTTTGTTTCTGGCTCCACAACTGAAAGGCTAAATGCTGCTCTCTGGGGGAGGAAAGTTGTAAATCCCTATCCTAGTGCTAAAACTCAGCTAGTAGACTAATTGCTAAAGCCTTCAGCAAGTACAAGTAGTACACAGGCAAGAATAACTATCCACCCCCCCAAAACTAGTTCAATATGCAAGCAAACAAGGTGGATAGACACAGAAGGGAGTAATAGAAAAGGGTAAACCTCACCTATCCAGGCCTTCCTAACAGCAAATGACATCAGAGCAAAGCTGGCTACTGAAGAATAAATACATTTGTGCTGGAGGAGGTGGCACTACCAGACACATCTGGTGTGCAACACAGTAGTTGTCTTGGGACTTGGGATTCTAGCTCAAAGTGCAGATGGCAGTTGTGGCTAGGAGACCCTTTGCATAATTTTGTGGTGTGCACCAACTGTGCCCTTTTCTGGATTGTGAGGCCAGGCACTCAATTACTTGTGTTCTGTCATCTTTCATTTGGATTATTGTAATGCACTGTACATGGGGCTATCTTTGAACAGTTATTTGGAATCTACAATTGGTCCAGAATGTGGCAGTGCAATTTTGGAAGTCTCTAGGTGGCACATGTAACATCAGTTAACACAAGTTGCACTGGTTGCTGATGTGCTTCTGGGTCCAATTCAATATATTGGTTATTTAAAGCCTTTAAAACTCTCCGTGGCATGGGTGCAGGGTGTCTGAGAAATCTTTCCCTAATGGGATCAGCCTACTCCTAATTCTGGCAGGAACCTACTGCAGATCCCATCAGCTATGGAATTTTAGCTGGTAGGGTCCAGGGGATGATCCTTTTTTGCCTCATCCCCCCCCCCCATTTTGGAACTTCTTGCCACCAGAAATGAGATCTTCCCTCTTCTGGCATGGGCACACTGAAGGAAAAGCCATAGGCTGGAAGTGGTTGGTGCAGTGACACAGCAGGCACCACTGCTGCTGCAGTTGAAATCTGTCATCTGTTTTATTACATTGTAAATCACCCAGTCACCTCAAACTATGAGATAGGCAGCACATAAGCTTAATAAATAATAAATTCCCTGGTTACTATTATAAATCAAATAGCCCTCTGTCCTAATACAGCCATAGTTAACAGATTCCAAATAGTTAAAAAGTTTGGAAGAGCTGTATTTCAGAATAATACAGGGAATAAATTTAAATTCACTAAACTTGCAAAAGTGTAGCAGTGATGCAGTATACTCTTTGTTCTGTCTCCATGCATGTTCCACCTTACAATGCTTCTCTTTTCTATAGCCCCTCCCCATTTGTTCCCATTCCATGACCACTGTGTAGAATTCAGTATTCATTCTGCTGTTTTGGGTCGTCGTCCCCCCGCTCCAAATCTTTTGTGCTTTTGGGTTGGAAGTTACTGATCCCTGATGCCTTGCCATACAGCACTTTGTGCGAACACTAAAAATAGAAATCAGCCAAATAAGCATGCAAGCTAGCAAAATTCTGTTTTATGTTGCAGGTCATGTTTGAACTTGGAAGAGTGTTTTTCTGATACCAGGAGTACATTACAACAGACATTTTACAAGACTAGTCGTTATCTGAGCAACAGGTTTATTAGACTTCAATTTTGTCCATTTTAGAAAGCAAGCAAATGTCATGATAAATTTATGGACATTTGCTACAAAATGTTGGGAGTCATTGCATTTAATTTCATATTTCATTACTATGTTTTCTTGGAATTCATGGTGTAAAAGCATTATGAGGCTGGTTTTCTATCTTATGGATACAGATTATCTGTTACAGGAAAAGGATGTACGTACAGTATATACGATACTGTTTTCTGTATATAAGCTGTACATTTTTTCACAATACGTTCAATAGAATTAAGAAAAAATATGTATATAATATGCCATTATGTATATGGGGAGCCAATGCATAGAAAATGAACAATTCTAATATTGTTCATTTATGAAGGAAGAGTTAAAATTAAAAATAATCTTCAGCTCAAACAGTCACTGTCTTTGAAATTGCTTAACACAAAGATTTTATAAATGCAGACATGTTTCTTCAAGAAGCAAGAGAAATTTAATCAAAGCAATGTCTTTGACCATATTGCCTTAGACAAATTTTCCTCAGTAACCATTATGCATGTATGAACACCAACTGAAAAGCTGTGAAATAAAATAATGGTTGTAAGAAATGCATTGATTTCTTTGAAGCAAGATTAAGGTCTCTCAAATCCAAAACCTTTTGACTAGATACACCAGAAAACTCATGAAAGCTTTAACTTATGTACCCAGGATCTGGTTCTCAACTAACTTTCCAAAATGTATCATGAATATTGTCAAATTTTAACATTTTTGTAAGAGTTTAAAAGAAGTTTGTTCTTTAGTTTCAGAAAGTGGGAAGAATGTTTGTAAATGAACCTACTGCTGAAATTTTATGATGGGAAACAATATGATAACTATTAATAGCTTTGTTTTTCATACAGTGCACATTTTTAAAATAAAAAGCCCAAAGCATTTGTGAGGAAGGTACATTTTATCATTTGAATGACTTCATAATTTTTCACATGCCCTCAGTAACAATGATAGCAGCACACATTATACACACAGTAATAGCATACTTGCAATTCTTGAGACAATGGGACTTAAACATTTGTGAACCTTTTTGAATTTTTAATGTTTTTACATCAGTATGATCTAAAATGTGATACTATTCACATTAAACTAGATAATCCAATTAAAGTCAATATACTTGATCATTTATTGAGCATGATCCAAAGCTACATGTGTGTGACAAAAATGTATTAACCTCTAGGATTATTAGTTCATTTGAAGGGGAAATTAATCAGATATTTCAATGAATGAGGTCATGTGAAATGATAAGGTCTTGCCTAACAACATTCTGGGTATTCTTATCAAAGTCTGTCTTTACAGCATAGTATATGGAAGTGTGTCATGAGTTAAACAAGATTTCCGAGGACCTCCAAAAAAAGTTGTTAATACTCACCAGGATGGAAAAGATTACATAACTATTTCCAAATAATTTGGATTCCACAAGTCTACTGTTAGTTAGGTAGATTTTGTACAAATGCAGGCAATTCAGCACCACTGTTATCCTTCCCAGGAGAAGTTGACCAACCAAGATGACACAAACAGCAAAGCATGTAATACTCTGGGAGGTCTCAAAGAATCCCACAGTAACATCTATGGAACTAAAGACCACTTCATCAAGACCACCAATATCTTTGAGTTGAAGCTGTTTGATAAGGAAGATTAGTTTAAATTCCTTCAAGCCGACGTGTAGGGTTCATCAAGTTATCTATTGTTTAATAGCACTGATTGCACCAAATATTCAGCAACACCAATTACTGAAATTAAAGGTTTACTTTTTTCATACACAAATGAGTATTTTTGGATCAAACATTAGAAAAAGTCTAATATTTTTTATTCATTTGAAGTCATATTTATGCAGAAATATTAAATTTTAAAGGGTTCACAAATCTTTAAGCCCACTTTAAACTGCTAAACAGTTGAAATGAAATGAAAACAAATCTGGGAAGCAGATATTCAAGACATCATTCCTAAAAATTGTAAATTGTAGTGTCAAGCCTTTTCCATTGCTTTAGTATATAGGTAGTCCTCTACAACAATTCCTTTAGTGACTAAAGTTACAACAGCACTGAAAAAGGTGACTTATAACCATTTTTCACACTTATGACCATTGTAGCATCTCCATGGTCACCTGATCAAAATTCAGGTGCCTGGCAACTGACTCATATTTATGGCAGGTGCAGTGTCCCAGATTCATGTGATCACTTTTTGTGACCTGATAAAGTTAATGGGGAAGCCAGATTCACTTACTAACTTTAACAACTGCAGTGATTCACTTAACTGTGGCAAGAAAGGTAGTAAAATGGGACAAAATTCACTTAACAATGTCTCACTAAACAATAGAAATGTTGGGGTCAATTGTGGTCACAAGTTGAGGGCTACCTGTATGCAATTATACAATTTCATTAACAATTTGGTATTCAAATTTTGCAAACATAACAAATAATGAACATAAAATATTGTATGAGGGAAAGAGAAGCCTCAACTTGTTTCTGCTACTATTATCCTGCAGTTTATTTCTCTGATTTATCAATCGCTTACAAGATAATAGGTATAACAATAAAAATAAGTATGAATACAGGAAATAGGTATGAATAAATGAGGACAATAGGACAGGGACAGTAGGCACGATTGTGCACTTATGCAGGCCCCTTACAGAACTCTTAGGAATGGAGTGAGGTCAATAGTAGTTGAAAGTTAAGGGAGTGGATGAGGATGTAACAACAGAGGATGTAACAACAGAGTCAGGTAGTGGTTAAATAATCAAGTCTGAAAAATGCAGTCTTCATATACACAGTAAGTTGTTTCAGAATGTATTTCAATTTGGAAATAATACAGTATTCTGTTATTTGGAAGTATCACATAATGCTGGACAGAACATTAGCAATGCCTCACAGTCTGGCTGATATCTCTCGCAGCTCAACAATTAGTATATCTAGCTTATGAAAAGTAATACTAAGGTTGCTAGTTTGTATGGAATGTATGAGAAAATCACTCACTCACCCTCTTAAATGCAAAATGGAGTGAAGAGCTACAATATCTCACAGGAGTACACCCCCCTCACATTTTGTAAATATTTAAGTGTATCTTTTCATGTGACAACACTGAAGAAATGACACTTGGCTACAATGTAAAGTAGTGAGTATACAGCTTGTATAACAGTGTAAATGTGCTGTCCCCTCAAAATAATGCAACAGTCATTAATGTCTAAACCCCTGGCAACAAAAGTGAGTACAACTCTTAAGTGATAATGTCCAAATTGGGCCCAAGTAGCTGTTTCCCCTTCCTGGTATTATGTGACTCATTAGTGTTACAAGGTCTCAGGTGTGAAGGAGGAGGTTAAATTTGATATAGCTCTCATACTGGTCACTGGAAGTTCAAGATGGCACCTCATAGCAATGAACTCTGAGGATCTGAAAAAATGAATTGTTGCTCTACATAAAGATGGCCTGGGCTATAAGATTGCCAAGACCCTGTAACTGAGCTGCAGCATGGTGCCAATACCATACATTGGCTTAACAGGACAGGTTCCACTGAGAACAGGCCTCGCCATGGTAGACCAAAGAACTTGAATGCCCATGCTCAGCACCATATCCAGAGGTTGGCTTTGGGAAATAAGACGTATGAGTGCTACCAGCATTGCTGCAAAGGTTGAAGGGGTGGGGGATCAGCCTGTCAGTGCTCAGACCATATGCCACATGCTGCATCAAATTGTATGCAGGGCTGTTGTCCCCGAAGGAAGCCTCTTCTAAAGATGATGCAAGGAAAGCCCGCAAACAGTTTGCTGCAGACAAGCAGACTAAGGGCATGGATTTCTGCAACCATGTCCTGTGGTCCTCTGAGACCAAGATAAAACTTATTTGGTTCCAATGGTGTCAAAGCGTGTGTGGTAGCAACCCGGTGAGTACAAAGACAAGTGTGTGTTACCTACAGTCAAGCATAGTGGGAATGTCATGGTCTGAGGCTGCACAAGTGCTGCTGGCATTGGCGAGCTACAGTTCATTGAGGGAACCATGAATGCCAACATGTACTGTGACATACTGAAGCAGAGCATGGTCCCCTCCTTTCAAAGACTGGGCGGCAGGGCAGTATTCCAACATAATAACGACCCCAAACACACCTCCAAAATGACCACTGCCTTGCTAAAGAAGCTGAGGGTAAAGGTGATGGGCTGGCCAAGCATGTCTCCAGACCTAAACCCTATTGAGCATGTGGGGCATCCTGAAACAGAAGGTGGAGGTGCACAAGGTCTCTCAACATCCATCAGCTCCGTGACGTCATACATCATGGAAGAGGACTCCAGTGGCAACCTGTGAACCTCTGGTGAACTCTTATGCTTAAGGCAGTACTGGAAAATAATGGCAGCCATACAAAATATTGGCACTTTGGACCCCATTTCGACATTTATCACTTAGGGGTGTACTCACTTTTGTTGCCAGGGGTTTAGACATTAATGGTTGTGTGTTATTTTGAGGGGCAGCACATTTACACTGTTATACAAGCTGTATACTCACTATTTTACATTGTAGTCAAGTGTAATTTCTTAAGTGTTGTCACATGAAAAGATAAACTTAAATATTCACAAAATATGAGGGGGTGTACTCACTTCTGTGAGATACTGTACTTCCATTTCACAACTGGAAACTAAGTATTACCTTTTCTTTACCTTTTCCAAATATTAGCAATTGTTTTGTAGCGAGACACGCCTATTTAGGATTATCACCTGCCCTACTGAATGACTCAATAACTCAGCTGTTTCAGTATAACTTCAGGAATGCACTGGAAATACTGAAATTTAATTCAGAAAAGTGTTAAATAACCCTCTTGGACAGTTTTAAAGATGGTTATGCTATGCTATACTATATGGATACAGAACTGGTTGAGAACTGTTCAGGACTTACAACCACAATTGAGCCTAACGTTTATGTTGCCAAGAGACATTTATTGAGTTTGCCCCATTTTATGATCTTTCTTGTCACAATTGTTAAATGAATCACAGCAGCTATTAAATTAGTAAAATGGTTGTTAAGTGAATCTGGCTTCCCCATTGACTTACTTGTCAGAAGCTCACAAAAGATGAGGACAAGACCAGAATACTGAAACCATCGTAAATGAATTGTCAAGCATCTGAATTTTGATGTGACCATTGGGATGGTGCAACAGTTGTTAAGAGAGAAAAACGTGGTCATACGTCACTTTTTTCAGTACATTATAACTTTGAATGGTCACTAAATGAACTGTTGTAAATCGAGGACTATTCAATAAATGTATATCAATAACACAACAGCAAACTGGACATGTTAAAACATATCATGAGGCTCTATTCAACTGTGCTGTTCAATGTGTTTATCAATAACCTGGGTGAGGCATTAAAAATGATCACATTTGAAGATGAAAAAGTTGGAGGTTGGTAAACACCATATAGAACAGTATCAATATTCAAAAGGATTTTGTCAAGCTGAAACAATGGAACAAACCAGCCAAGATGAATTGCAACAGCAAATGCATAATCTGTATCTAGATTATAGGAAATCAAAGTAGTAGGAAAATCAGATGTAAAGCCATGGAATGGTGGGGAAACCATACTGAACAGCAGTACATATATTGCTATTGTGTAATCTAAATGCTTGAAGCATCACAATCCAAATATCAGACATGATATTCTTCCGATTAAAATCGGAATTCCGATTTTTTGGGGAATCGCCCCCCCCTTCTTCTCCTCCTTCCCCTCCCCTCGGAGGCCCCGAGTCAGGAGTTGCTACCGCCGGCGCGGCTCTGCGTGGCTCCAGTCCCGCGTTGCCTCAGGAAGGGAAAGGCAAAAAGGAAGAGCCGCGGCGGCGCTTTGCAACGGCAGCAGCGGCTCCTGGTTTTGCCTTTCCCTTCCCGAGGCAACGCGGTGCGAGCGGAGGCCGGCCGGCCGGGCGGTGTGAGCGGCGGGCAGGCAGTGCGAGCGGTGCGAGCGGCTGGCGGGCGGTGCGAGCGGCGGGCGGGCAGGTGGGCGGTGCGAAAGGGAGCTGGGCAGCGATTTCTTGGCGCGCGGTGGGGGGGGTCTCTTGGCCGGCCCCAATTTTTTTTTCAGAGGGGAATATCATGCCTGAAATATGGAACTGCATGACACATGGACAAAAACTCAAATGAATTAAAGACAGCAGCAACATGGATCAGACTGCCACTAGTGTATGGCATTCGGTTCTTTGCGTATACTAACAAACTGAAGAATGCTCAGAAAGAAATAATGGACCTGGAAAGAAAAAAACTTGCTAGAAACAATTGGAAGTGTTGGGTATGATCAGCCCATGACTGTTACAAGACACAACAGCAGTTATATGAAGGATGATAACGTAAAACTCAGGGCATTATTGTTCGAAGTCATTCCAGAAGACAAGATAAGCAATGGAGTTAAATTACAAGGCGATAAATTTTGGACAGTAAGGGAAAAAAACCCTGATAAAAATAAACAATGGAAAAGACTATTTGGGGAAGTGGTCAATCTTCAAGAAAAATACTTAAACAGCAGCTGGGTTGCCATCTGTCAGGATGCTGCAGTAATAGATCCATGCTCCAGGCAGGCGATTGGATAAGGAGATCTTCACAGTCCCCTTCAAATTCTATGTTCTATTATTCAGAGTAAAAGTACTAAAGAATGTATTAGATACATATACTGAATATATGAACAAAATGAAGCATGCTAATATCACTTACCTATTCAATTCTGCACTGGAAAAAATTCCAGTACCTTTCCTGAAAAATGAATTTCTCCAATTTACATAATTAACAAAGTGTATGTAAATTAATTTGAAATTTTGCCCCTGTTGGAAAGGGGCAAAAAATACATGGGGACAGCACATTTATGCCCAAATAGTATAAAAGCAAATACTATTATAATTAGAGGCAAAAATGAGATTAAATTTTGAATACTCTTACAATTTCTCAGAAAGGTTTAACTCCAGCCAAAACCTGGTTATTTAAATTAATGAGATCAGTTTTTGCAACTAGAGTATTGCACCTCATTATTAGAAAGCAGCTTTCACTGCAAAAATGAACTACTGTACTATTTACTGCCCAGCTAACTGGAGGGAATCCAACACATCTGAGTAAACAATTATTGAGATAGATAAGCTTTGAACTAAGGAACAGGACACTCCTAATGCATTTCAGCTAGAAATATTTCCTCCCACTTCCTTTTCTTCAAAAGCCTAACTTGCTGATAGGATTTGTTTTTATTTAACAATTAGGAGCCAGAAATCACCTATCAACAAATACTAATCTGTTCTGCCAATCCTTGGTTTATAAAAGATAGTTTACATTTAGTATAGCAAGAGCTCCCCACAAAACCAGGATAAAACAGATACAATAAATCACACAATAGGCAATTCAAATACTGATTTATTTTTACATCTTTAAGTTACATTATAATACCTGATAGGTAAAAAATTGAAAAACTGTTATCCAGGAAGGTTTTTTATGACTTAGTACAAAAGAGCAGTATGTAACTCACTGTTTAGCAAAGTTTAAATCACTGTTCAGATTTAAATGTTAATGCTAATTTAAATTTTAATGCAAACTTAAAAGTGTAATGCTATGTACAAATGTTAATCCTACTAATTAAAATGCAGTCCTCTACTAGTAATATAGCAGATTTACATCAAGAGTTCATAATCATTAGTTTATGCTTAAATGCTCACAAGCAGGGAACAAAGCTAAGAGTTTTCATCAGATCACTGGTTTTACACAGCACACTAAGCTGAGCCAGTTTATAGCTTGGAGGACTATACGAACCCAGGCAATTCAGTGAACCAGCAATACAAATGATACATCAATGCCGGAAGTATATAGGTAGTCCTCATTTAATGACCATAACTGGCACCAACAACTCAGTCTTTAAGTAAAGTGAAACTGCAAGTGTGATTATGATCTTACTTCAGCTTTCTTTTGCTTTATAGACCACAAAGCTACTTTTTCATCACTGTCATAATTGCAAACAGGAAGTTACTAAACAAGAACTACTGTGATGATCATCATCATGTTATTCATGTCTGACTGCTGTATTACTTTTCAATACAAAAGTTTTCCCCCCACTAAATAAAATCTACCACTATTAACTTTTCAAAAGCTTTCAGGTTGTCCTTTTTAATAAACTGGGTTGCTTCTTATATTAACATGAAAATGTTACAGTAGAACCTCTGGTCACGAACGCTTCTGACCACAACTAAATCTGACCAAAAAATTCACAAAATTTTTGAATCTGGTCATAAACACAAACTCCAGTGGTGATCAAACACGACCCCTGAACCAGAAATTCCTGAAGACGAAACATTAGAAGATGAAGAAATTGCCAAAGTTATGGAACAAATTATGGCCGTGACCAGAGGTTCTACTATATTTGGGATCCAATTATCAATCACTGAACTTCCATGATGGGTTCTATGGGAGCCACTAAACTGAAATTCAATCCTTGGAATGCTTTGTAGATTTCTTTGCAAATAAAGTGTCTAGATGGCTTGCACTCTTCAAAGCATCAAAATGTGATTCTAAAACCCAGTTTATTAGCAGAGGTCTTAATAAAGTAAGCTGTACATTTAATAACTGCACCATATCCCTTCCTAGACCAAGACCATTAAACTGGATTCATGCACACTAAAAGCAATGTATGATTAATTATTGTAATATAAGTTTTTATTGTCGTGGAGAAATTACCTCTGGTGCCATTCTTTTGCTCTGATATGTTTTATTTATATTGTTTTAAACTGAAAGATCCACGCTGAAATGGAAAATGAAGGGCTAGGAAAAAGCTGTTAATGTTAAAACTATAACTAAAAATTAAGCTTAAACACAAATTTGTAACTAACAAATTTTACTGGTATATTTAATTATACAAAATACTACAAATTCAATGCATAAGTCAGAAGTGAACTATTTAAATTTTCATAGACCCTCTGTATTTGTAATGAAATCAGTAGTACTGATCCAGGGAAAATCATATGGATTTGTAAATCTGAGACTAAATTTCAATAATTTATTCCTTTCCCCCCTTTTAATGCTTTACTTATAATTAATAAAAGACAACTACCTGAAACAAAAATTGAACATACATAACATTAGATATTAAAGCATACAACTATTTCAAGAGAACCTTTTCCCAACTTTAAAATTACAGGTTCCCATCAGGAAATCCAGATCAGACAGACAGACAGACCAATACTGTTTGTGTTAATGTTTATTAAGAAGTTAAGTCTTTACTCCTACACATGCTAACCTCACTGTAACTTACTAAACTCAAAGGACTAATTTCTGAGCAATGTGTGTAGAATCACATGCAATTTTTTCTTCAATATAAATACAAAGGAGAAGACCTGATTACATATCTGTAAAACAAATAGAACAAAAAATGAAGTATAACCTCCACAGCCTAGTAAAAAAATGAAATAGCTGCTTAAGCAATAAGAGAAAGCAACTGACAGAAATCAAAGCAAGTTCAGAGATTTAGAAATGCTTAGAACAAATTCCCCACTTTTCTGGGAAACGACATCAAGCTACCACAATCCTATTCATATTGAACCTTACTAAATGAGTCTCTCTTGTGAGAAAACCTACTGCATACATTATTGTTAACTTCAGAGCTCATTTACTTTGGTACAGATCACGCAATTAATACATCACATAACCATTAATCTCACTATCACTTTGCTTAAAGTTCAGGGTTTTTTATAAGAAATTAAATTCCAGCAGTTTGATATATTTCATATTTCCTACTATGAAACACCATACAATACTTTATTTCAAGCTACAGAATTACTGCTATCCATCAAAGAAATAAGTTCACCAGCTAAAAGCATGCAATTCTGCCCTCTAAACCTATTAATGGAATCTTCTTTGCACTGAGATAAATGTATTGAGCTTCCTAAAAAATCAACACATTTCTCATCATAAGTCACGGGATACACTTCAAATAAGTTTACTAAGTTCAAATCCATGTTACTTGACCTCTGCACCGAGAAGTGGGATTTAGTATTAACTACTTAAATGCATACTTTAGAAATACTCAGATGCCAATCGTTTTTTTTCAAGTTGTCATCTCAGTGTCATAAAGAGTCCAATCAAGCCAAGGGCTACGCGCAGACGATTAAAATTATCCCTCTTTTCTAACCCAAGTGCACCTTACTTCAGTTCTGGCTACCACTTCTCTCCCACCTGTATCAGAGCAACGGAAGCCCATTGACAAGAAGGGGAAGAACGGGGGCTAAGCTTTCAAGAACCAAAGCGCGCAGAAATGGGACCCCTTCCCGTCGCCCCCTCCCGCAAGGATTACTACGGCCGCAAAAAGCTCGGCGGCCGTGACGGCTCAGCCCAGCCGGTGAGGCCTGCGTCCCGCTCCCTGCAAGCGGCGCGCGCCAATAGGCGAAGCCAAGCCAGCCAAGCAGGCGGCGAAGGAGGAAAGCGGGGGAGGGGAGGCTCCTGCTGCTGTTGCCGCCACAGCGCTCGTCGCCGCCTCCCCCCCCTCCCCCCGTCTCTCCCCGGCGGGGGCTCCTCGCTACAGCCTCTCTGCTCCGCTCTCGGTCATGTGACCCTAACGTAACCGGACAGGAAAAGCCGCCGCCGCCGCCGCGCTGACTCCGTTGTTGGCGCTGCTGCTGCTGCTGCTCCTCCTGGGCTGGCGGAGACCGCGGCCCCCCCCCCCCCCCCCACAGCGCGCGCCAGGCGAGTGCCGCCCGCCCCCCCCCCCCCACCCCCCACCCACACTCATCCTCCGAGAAGGCGCGGGAGAGGGGCGGGTGGCCGGGAGGGAAAGAGGGAGGGGGGCGCGTGGCGGCGGCGAGGCCCCTTGCTCTTCCCTGCCCCCCCCCCAATCTCCCGTCCCACCATTGTGCTGGCGATCGGTCGGGTAGGCCAGGTTCAGACCCGGAGGAAAGGCAGAAGGCTCCCCGGGCCCTGAGGGGGGCTTTCTCAGCCGAGACCCCGAAATGGCGCCGGTGGAGGCGGCTGCCTCGGGGAGGAGAGGGAGAGGTCTCCCGGTTGAGGCTGCTAGAGAAACTCCTGCCCTGGCAGAACCTGGTCTGATCCGGGCTTGGCTTGGCCCTGTACGCCCTCGCCGAGCTGAGTAGCGGCCTTTCCCCTTTTTTCTCTCACCCGCGGCGGCAGCAGCCCGGCCTAGGAGGAAGGGGGAGGGGCAGGCGCCGAGGCAGCCGCGCGGAGCGGGAAAGGGAGGGAGGCAGAGAGAGAGAGAGAGAGAGAGGAAAGGAGGGGGGGTGAGGGTGGGCGGCTCCGTCTGCGTCTCCTCAGCAGCCTAGGCGGCCCTGGCGACAGCGGCGGTTCCCGTCTCTCGCGCGCCTAGGCGCCCCAGCCCGCTCGCTCGCGCTGCTTACGTCGTCTCGCGCCGCCGTCCGTACGCCGCCCCGCCGCCTCCGTGCGTTGCGTGTGCGCGCACGCGGCGGCTTCGCGTCGCCTGCGCAAGGGGAGAAGGCGGGGCCGAGGCAGTGGCCGTGGCGCGCGCTTGGCCTCGCTGCCTTGCCCCTTTTGCTCCGCAGGCAGCCAATAGAAAATGCCGGCGGGCTGTCACAGTGTGATTCACGGCGGGGGCGGGGGGTGAAGGAAGCTTGCGGTCCTCCACCGCTGTAGGCTGCTGTTTGCCCGCCCCGTTGGCGTCTGCGAGAGTTTTCTGCCTCCTGAGTGGCTTTTTATTGCTGGCGCTTGGCGAGAAGTTCCTCTCTCCAAAGGGAGGGACAAGCCTCTCGGAAGAGGTTCTGCTTTTTTTCCTGGGGCGGAAGATGCTTTTGAATTTTGATCCCACCCTTCTTCAGGATGCTGTTTTTTTTCCCCCCTGGGCAGAGAAGCAGGGATGCTCTCACAATTCTCCAGAGAGATCTCGCCTTTATTTCATGTTAGATGCTGCCTATAAATTCGAACAATTCTGAATTTGTCATCCAGAAAACAGATATATTCGATTTTATTTTGAATTTAACCTCAAATGAATGCTGTGATTTTTATCTAATTCATTTTCCCGTTGGCTGCAAGTTTTCCTGAACAGTTGATGGAATTTGCTGTGCAAAGCATTCATTACAGAAACAAAATATAAAATAAAATATAAAAACATAGCTGAAAACTAACCGAGAGAATTCACTACTACTGTAGCATTTAGATAAAGCTATATTCAGGACTCCTATAAATATTCCCAAATATTTCAAAATGTTATGAGGGATCAAGAGTTTTAGAATTACATTTGGTTTAATTCTCTTGATCCTATGCAGCATTTCCAAATATATCTTTTAATATTCTAAAACTATGCGTGTATATTTTAACACAAACCAAAACCTTCATTTATTTGCTCTCAAGTTTTTAATTGTAATTTCAACCTGTCCACAAACTGGAAGTATTATGAATGCGATGGCTTTAAATAAATTTGATCTTTTTAGTTGTCTGAAATATATATTGATACATTACTGGCAAACAGGTAATGAGTATTGTTGTGCTAATTATTATGTTATCTATTCTTGCTTTTTTTCCTTTGTTGATTTTAATCCTAGAGATAGTCATAGTTGATTGATTGAAATTTGGGTGCTTTGGCAACCCATTCATGTTTACAACTACAACATGCACTTTTAACTCCCCCCATCATCTTTGCTCTTTTGCCCTGTGCACCAAAGCCACCAGCTGATGGTACCTGCCACCAGCTGATTTTTGTCTCTTCTTCCTCCCGCTATTGCTGAGGCTACCCAACCAAGGCAGCTATTTGCCCTCCTTGTTTTATCTAAGGAGCATGAGCTTAGTGATGGAAATTCTGGTCCCAATTTGGATTGTTAAGTGCTTGAATGTTTCCTGCTCATTCACAACAGGTAAAAAATAGATGGCTATAAAAATCAGATAAATGGTTTTAGTACCTGTGAATTGTACCCTCCCAAATTTCACATTCTTTGGGCACATGACAGAATCTTTAAAGAAAGATGTTTTCAAGAACTTTTTCTGCTTTACAGATTTTAAAAGATGGATTTGGCCAACCATGGACTTATTCTTCTACAGCAGCTTAATGCTCAGAGGGAGTTTGGTTTCCTGTGTGACTGCACAGTTGCCATTGGTGATGTGTACTTTAAGGCACACAAATCCGTCCTTGCCTCTTTTTCCAACTACTTCAAGATGTTGTTTGTTCATCAAAGCAGGTACTATATACATATATATTGTTAAACATTAAGTTAGTATAGAGTTACTTTATCTACCTTAATAAGTAACATGCAGTGCAATCTGCAGATCATTTAAGTCAATTAGAATTTAAGCCTTGCTAACTTCATTGGTACCTGATTTATAACTCAGGTTCAGCCACTGTAGTCCTGAAGTGATTCTTCCGGTGTAAATCACAATTTCCTAAGTAGCAGGAAACCAAGGGTTGATGAAGGGCAGTCCCTACCCATCCATCCCAGAAAGAATCTAGCTTTTTCTTTATGTTGGCCATAAGAGAAGCTATAGAGCTTTGTTTGTCCTTTCCAGTCAGATAGTGAGTGTTCAAAGGCAACACTCTGGAATCAGCCAAGAGAATATAGAACTGTGAATTGTTATTCAAAGAAGATAATTAGGAAGGAGAGTCTGGCCTGAAGAGGATACTGATTTCAAAATGGGCTTGAGGAATTGTTTGCCATCTGCATTTCATTCTCTCTTGCCCTTTTAAATAGTAACCCCGAGGATTAGTCTGCTTTCTGGTTTAGTTCCTATGAATCACTTTATGAAGTAATCATTGTCTGAAATGGAATAAAAGCATGGGATATGAAAAAAAAAATCACACTTTATTCACAGCAGTTGAAATTACAAATATTTGTGATAAGCTGAATAGATGTATATGGTACTTTTTTCTGTTATACATCAGTATTCTTCATCTTAAATCTTTACTATTAGAAGATGAAGAATTGGGAACTCCGTTCCATTTGCCTTGCTTATTCCTGTCAGCTGAAAGTTTTGAATTCTTCAAGAAGTCGTTATCATTTGATTTTTAAAATAAGCTGTTAACATACTTCTATACTCCATTCAAACCAAGGTATAGGTTGTGCAATTATGCATTGGTTCTGCTGCTAAATATAAATTGGCTGAAAAATTGGCTGTAGGAACTCAGATCCTCATTAAGCCAATTAATAGGCAGTCTGTGTCCCTTTGGGTCATTGTTTCAAAGACATTTTCTTGCCAGATTCCTCAGTGCTTTCAAATGGCAGAGCTTCTAATGTATGTGAAAAGTATGTGAGAGATTCAGATAAATATCTGTCTTGAAAAAAATAGCTCAAGTTGAGCTGTATAGCAGTCAACATGCTTTATGATAATTTTTGTGTCATAAAATGTTTTATTTCCAAAATTCAATTTCATGTGAGTCATCGGTCCAAGATTTTGAACAAATTCTATAAGTTAGCCTATTTGAGGTACCTTGGCTCAAAAAGTTGCCCTATTCCATTAAAGATTATAGACACAAGAGTTCTAGTAAGGTAGTATATAGAGACAAGCTTAGAGACAAACAACCTACTCTCCAATAAACAATTTGGTTTCAGGAAAAAACTATCATGTAATCTGCAACTATTACACTGCAAAAACATATGGACTACACAACTCGATCAGGGCAAAGCAATAGACGCAATCTACATAGAGTTCTGCAAAGCCTTTAATTCAGTGGTACACGACAAACTACTCCTAAAACTAAAAGCTTATGGTATCTCTGGACAACTGTATAACGGGATAGAAGCATTCCTGTCAAACAGACAACAAATAGTCAAAATTGTGAGTGTCCTATCAAATTCTGTACCTGTCAATAGTGGTGTCCCCCAAGGCAGTGTTCTAGGACCAACTCTCTTCATACTCTACATAAATGACCTCTGTGATCATATTGAGAGCAACTGCGTTCTTTTCGCTGATGATGTAAAGCTGTTCAATACCACAGACAATACTGCTACCCTTCAAAAAGATCTTGACTATGTATCAGAATGGTCAAACAAATGGCAACTTCAAATCTCAACAAATAAATGCTCTGTCTTACATATTGGCAAAAAAAAAATCAGAAAATAAAATACAAGCTGAATAGTCAAGATCTTGTTGATGATCCAAGCTCTGTAAAGGACCTTGGAATACTCACCTCTAATGATCTAAGTGCTAGAGCCCACTGTAACTACATAGCCAAAAAGGCATTAAGAGTTATTAACCTCATCCTACGTAGCTTTTTCTCTGGTAATATCACACTACTAACTAGAGCATACAAAACATTTGCTAGACCAATACTCGAATACAGCTCATCGGTCTGGAACCCACATTACGTATCTGATATTAGCACAGTTGAGAAAGTCCAGAAATATTTCACAAGAAGAGTTCTCCACTCCTCTACTCGTTGTAGAATACCTTATGCCACCAGACTTGAAAGACCTAGAAAACCTTGAATTACGCCGTCTTCTGTCTGATCTAAGTATGGTATATAAAATCATACATTGCAATGTCCTACCTGTCAATGAATACTTCAGCTTCAACCATAACAACACAAGAGCACACAATAGATACAAACTCAAGGTTAACCGCACCAAACTTGATTGCAGGAAATACGACTTCAGCAACAGAGTGGTCAATGTCTGGAATACTTTACCTGACTCTGTAGTTTCTTCCCCAAACCCCAAAAACTTTAACCTTAGACTGTCTACTATTGACCTCACCCCTTTCCTAAGAGGTCTGTAGGGGGCGTGCATAAGCGCACCAACGTGCCTACCGTCCCTGTCCTGTTTCTTTTATTTTTCTTACATGTACCCATTTCATGTATTCATAACTACGTATATACTTATACCTATTATCTTGTAAGCAATTGACAAATCAAATAAATAAAAATAAAAAATAAAATAAAGTATATGGATGTATCTCTGAGAGTGGAACACCTCAGCTGAGTCCTAAGCAATCAAGTAAAATGACAAATAAATCCCAATTGTCAAAATATAGGAACTTTTGCATTTCATTTTTGATGCTTAAGTATTTATATGGTACTATAAGCTACTGTATTCAGTTGTACTTCCTGAATCAAATAACTTTTATTTAAAATCAGGTATGTATTGTAACATTATTTCTCTAAAGCTGTCTTTTATTCCTTCATACTTAAGATCTGAAAGGACCACAAAAGCAGCCCTGAGTCATATTACTTAAACAAGTATTGCAATAAATATACAATATTCTTTAAGTGATTACCTTTAAAATTGTAGAACCTTCCTATGTCTAATTACTCAGAAGAAAACCATTGATGTTAGTAAGACTTGCAGGTAGTCCTTGACTAATGGCCAGTCGCTTCGTGACATTTCAAAGTTGTGATCCTAAAAAGCTACTTACAACCTGGATTTGAAGTTCTGATATCCAGGAACCCCCACCCCCCGCACCAAGTGACTGCATTTTGGGCACTTGGCAACCAGCCCACATTTACTGCTGTTTGCAGTGCTCTATGATCACATGACTGATTTACTCCATTTTCCCCATAACCAGCAATGTATTCAGGGTAACACTGTCGCAAAGTCATAAAATCTGCCCTGACACACTTTATGACCATCACAACTTACAACTGAAATTGTGGGCTCAATGATGGTCTTACGTATCTGCAACTTCCTTATCAGTATGTATTAAAGGGGTGCATGCCTCACAAATTGCACGTGATCCTCTGTTGGAGGACCTAGGGGAAGTTCCCAAACACCTTACCAACGTCATATTATTTAACCGCCCATCTCCCTCATTGTTCGCCAATGTTGATGCTGCAAAAGTATTTCCATGGATGAAATTCCTATATTTCAGTGGCTGCAGAAATATAATGACAGCTAGCAATATGCCAAGGGAGGCAACTCTTCTGTACATACATGTGTAAACAGGAGGAAAGCCTGGGCTTTTTGAGCCATAAAGTCTGATTGTTCCTGGAGTATAGGGGATATATTGCTGCCTTGAGTAAATACTATAATATATCTGTAGCGTTTTCCTCCTTTTTTCTTCGTTAATACTGTAACTTCTTTTTTTGCAGTGAATGTGTCCGTTTGAAGGCAGCTGACATACAGCCAGATATTTTCAGTTACCTCTTGCATTTGATGTACACTGGAAAGATGGCACCTCAGCTCATAGATCCTGTTCGACTCGAGCAAGGGATAAAATTCTTGCATGCATACCCACTGATCCAGGAGGCCAGTCTTGCCAGCCAGGGAAACTTTGCACACCCAGAGCAAGTTTTCCCATTGGCCTCATCATTATACGGTATTCAAATTGCGGATCACCAAGCAAGAAATCCCACAAAGGCCGTGACAGCACCTGACAAGCCTTTGCGAGAAGCACGGCCCCAGCTGTCAAGAGTGAACCAAGAACAGGTCCATGAACCCTCCCAAATATCGCAATTATCCCAGATACCACCTCCAAGTTTGCCTCAAGTGCCCCCAACAAATATTGCTCCCCCTGACCCACTGCAGTCTTCATTGTCTCCCGAGTTAGTATCAGCTCCTTCTCATCCTTCTCCTGGAGATGAAACCAACATGGAAGCATCTTCCTCAGATGATCAACCTGCCTCTCTCACAATAGCGCATGTCAAGCCAAGCATTATGAAAAAAAACGGAAGCTTTCCCAAATATTATGCCTGCCACCTTTGTGGTCGACGTTTCAATTTGCGAAGTAGCTTGCGTGAGCATCTCCAGATTCACACAGGTGTGCCCTTTGCGTCCAACCAGCATGGGGAAAGTAGCATTCCCTTGTCCCTGTGTAATAACGCTCCTGATAAAGATGCTATGGAAGCGACTGAAGCCGGAATGATCAGTGATAGTGAGCTGCAGCAGATCTCAGATTCACCCATAATTGATGGGCAACAGCAAGCAGAAACCCCTCCGCCCTCAGATATTGCTGATATTGACAATTTGGAGCAAGCAGATCAAGAAAGAGAAGTGAAAAGGCGGAAGTATGAATGCTCCATTTGTGGACGTAAGTTCATTCAGAAAAGCCACTGGAGAGAGCACATGTACATACATACCGGCAAGCCTTTCAAGTGCAGTACTTGTGACAAAAGTTTCTGCCGGGCCAATCAAGCTGCTAGGCATGTATGTCTCAACCAAAGCATGGACACCTACACTGTGGTGGACAAGCAGACTCTAGAGCTCTGTACATTTGAGGAAGGCAACCAGATGGACAACATGTTAGTACAGGCCAACAAACCCTATAAGTGCAACTTGTGTGACAAGACATTCTCCACGCCTAATGAAGTTGTCAAACATTCTTGCCAAAGTCAGAACTCAGTCTTTACTTTAGAAGAGGAAAGATCCATTCTGCTAAGTGGAGATGCTGAAACTACAGAGAGTGATCATTCAGTTTTAGACTCTATCAAAAAAGAACAGGAAGCAGTATTGTTAGACTGATCGTGAAACTTGGGTTTTGTTTTGTTTTTTTGTAACAAAAGGTTATGTTTGTTTATTCATATTTTTTATTAAACTTATCTTCCTCCTCCCCCCCCCCCCAATAACTTCATTTGACATGAAAGGAAGTCTTTTCCCAGTAAAAGCCTAACATTAATAAAGGGTATTATATCAAATTATAACTATTGATTTTAATGATAAGAAAGAATATATGTTCCTTATCTTGGAAACTATGCTACAATGATAAATGGCTCAATGACAGGACTGTAAACATTTGAAAGATTGTTTAATTATATGCTTGAATGCACTGAGAAAGTGAGAAGAAAACTATGTTGGTCAAGTTTCAATTGTTTATTCTCAAACCTGATTGTTAGAGGAAGATTAGTTAAGGAAATTGAATTCCTAAGTGAAATGCCTATAGTTATGCCTATTAGTCATTTTACAAATGCTCAAAAAATCCTTTAATAGAAGCAATTCATTTTTTTACCCAACACGATTTTTGACAGATGTTTACGTCCAACTCAGTCCGCTGATATTATGTCCATTCACAAATAAGAATATGATCCTAAGCACAGGTGAGTTGGGGGTAGATCCTATCCATGGTGCTCAAACTTTTAAGCAAAATGTGTTTAGGATCATATTTCATTAAAAGAGCAGTAATAATGTGATGGCAATCATTTTATATGCATAATGTGTGTGCCTGTGTGCGTGCACAAGTGTATATATTTCAGGCATGTATGTACTGCATGCACCCTTTTCAAATTGATTACTTTTTTGAATAACTGAACTGTTTTTAATATCAGTAAAAATACGCTTTAGAAGCGTATTTAAATTACACTGACCATATGACTATTTATATCTCATTGAATTGAAACGAATAATGTTGAAATTTATTGCTCAAAACCTGAAGGAAGTGAATTAGAAGATCTCTACAAAGTAGTCCTTGTACCCAACTCCCTATGGGAGTAACCGTTTTCAGCCTGTTTTTGAGATACAGAAAAGAAGAAAAACAATCAAAGCAATTGTCTGAATTTACCTGATCAGATCAAAATTAAGAGAAAGGGAAGCTGACCTTACTTTTTAATTACTAGCATCATTTTATAACAGAACAAAATAGAAGAATGACCAAATTTATCATGGTTGGTTTTCAGGTTAAAGTGGAACTTCTAGTGGCATCCTCTCTTCTTTGTATGACATTTTCTTAGGTTCCAGTCTGGCAAAATAGGCAACAAATAAAGGGTTGTACAGTCACTTTGCTACGGACAGTCTATCCACCATTAAAAATCAGGTTGTTGATTTTTATTTTTAATATATAAATATATGGATATTCTCCAATAGCCTAAAAAAAACCTAAATTGACAAGAGTTTTCTAAAATCCCACAAATGCAGGCAAGTATTTTGATGGGGGAGAAAGGGGAGCAGATATTGCTCTGCTCTTGTATACATGTTTTGTTTAAGTATCATCTTTTTTGTGTCTAGATATGTTCTCCAGTTTGTAAGTTTTTATACTTTATTTCACAGAATAAAAATGATATAAAACTAATTTTAGTTTTTGTCAAGTCAGAATGATTTATTGTGTTCCATCACTGCGCATATGCTACCGACTTTCGACCTAAGGATTTCCAACGTAGCCAAAAAGAGGTCTCTTGCACTGATCGTGGTAGCTAATTCTGTGCTGAAGCAGAAGTAGCAGTCGGCACTAGAGAAGCAAACCTTGTGCATATCAGGAGCACTACACAATTGGGTGTTTAATAACACCTGGGTTGCTCTTGAATTCTTGTGCCCCATCTTAAACCTGTATTTCTGCAGTTCATTTGGAAATTTAATTCTAATGGGACTTTTAAATGCAGCTGCCCTACCATGTAGCAATAAGAGTGGTAAATAGAAAAGTATGCGATATATTAGCAGGGTTCAGTTACTTCTTAAATGGAACTATTTCACTTCCCCTTACCGCCATCAAATCATTGCCATCTGTGAGGACAAACAATATGTAGTGTTCCATGTACTGTGAGCCAGCAACTTCCATGATCTTCACCTTATTTATATTGATTAGATGTATCTGGAATGGAAGTACATCATACAGAAGGCCATACATGATCCATCCCCTTCAGAAGTTTATTCAGAAACGTGATGAGTGGAATTCCCAGTGGCCCACAAATTGACACCAATAATACAGTAGCTGTCTTAGCAGAGAATAGAATAAAATAGAATAGATTTTATTGGCCAAGTGTGATTGGACATACAAGGGATTTGTCTTCAGTATATAAGCTCTGCATTTCAGGTGATAATGTCAATTGTTCCTGCACAGTTGAGCCAGCTTGTCGAGATGGCTTTATTGTTGAAATGAGCATTTTTATCCTTCTGGTTGTCTAGGTTTTCTTTGTTTTTTTATGATATTTATTAATATAGGGTTTTATATCTGATATCTCTTTTTACATAATTTTGTTGTATGCCACCCAGAATTGCTTTTGGTGAAACAAGCAAATATATACATTCGATAAATAAAATAAATAGCTCTAAGAAAAGCTCATGTACTGACTAACCAAGTAGCAGATAGAAGGCAAACATTTTGTTGGTCCACTGTCCTATGCTTAGAGACTTAAAGATATTAAAGCCAGTGGTCCTAACAGCAAGTTTAATTCTATCACACAACAGAAGCCAACATGTCAGGATGGGCTGTTTGAGTATAGTATACTATTTACTGAGCAAAATCATTGCCAAAGCTGTTAAAAGACCACCTATAAACTAGGATCTGGCTGTATGACAAGATTTGAAAGTCTTTCAAAATAACAAATTCCTTGTGTGTCCAATCACACTTGGCCAATAAACAATTCTATTCTATTCTAATATTAATTTGAATTTAGCAGCAGAGTTTCGTGTGTCTTAAGTATGCAGAAATTGCATTGCACTTTATACTGTATTTGGTGGGATCAGGTTTTGTGGCAACTGGCCTTGTTTCTAGATGATTATTGTAACCATGTAATATTCTCTCATATTCAGTTCATTCAGTAAAGATGACTAAAATAGACAAAATCTCTTGATTGAAAATCAATACTTTAACATCTGGCCTAATTATCTTCATGGTTTACATTAGACAACATTTTCAGTGGCTTCTCTTTTCAGTGGCTTCTCAGCAGCAGGAGTCAATCTGAGTACATGCTGGCCTTTGGAAGTAAGATCAAAATGAAAAAATTAAAGAGAGATTTTATTTTGGTGAAATCTCTAGCTGAATATCTTGGGGTAGATGGGTGGATAGTAGGTATTTGCCTGTCTGGCAAAAATGTATGCAGAAAATATAGTAAAATATAAAAAATATATAGACATTTTCAATTTACTGCTAAATTTAGTTGCATATCTGGAAAAGGAGACTGAAAAATGTAAATGAAACATTATCATCCTTGGTATTATGTATTATATGTGCTGTTACTACAGGCAGGAGCTCACTTCACAAGAAAAGCATTGATTTATTTGGCTAGTGGGAATCAAAGATTGCAATATTACCTATTCTAAATATAAATATCTCTTGATCCTAAAAACTGCGCAGTTAAATATTCTTCATTTATCATAGAATCCACTTCAAAATCATTCAAGACATACTAAAATCCATGTTCCTATAAAAAATATAGATGAGACTGTTTACCTTTATCCCACAAGAAGGCATGCCAGCCTTTTTGTAAATCATGCCCTTCAAGCATTAATATTCTTTTCTTTCTTAAATTAATCCAATCTCTCACCCATACTAATATTGCTGCCTTATAATAGAGTTCCCAATCAGGGAGTCCAAAGCCACCTCTGCTTCTATTATCCTGCAAGTCTCTTAATTTTATTTGTGCCTTCCTACCTGACCAAATAAATTAAGGTCACTCTATTTAATTGGAATTGTTTGGAATAGATAAAGTATTTTGGTAGAATATTCATTTTAATAGTTGATATACGCCCTAATAAAGATAATTGTAGAGTCCCCCACCATTCCAAATCTTTTTTAATTTGTTGAAATAATTTCACATAATTGTCTTCTTTTATTGAGCATCTTGCTGTTAACCATATTCCTAAATACAGTATAATTTTTTTGTAATTTGTAATCCAATTGCATCTTCTAATTCTCTTTTGTGCTTTATTGTTATGTTTTTCACTAGCATTTTAGTTTTAACTCTATTAATTTTAAGGCCTGAAACTTCTCCATAAATCTCTAATTCCTGTATCAATATTGGTCCAGATTCCAGTGGCTCCTCAATAAAAAAGACCAGGTCATCTGCAAATGCCTGTACTTTATAATCTTCCTTTTTAATGTTTGTTTCTTTTATTTCTGGGTTTGTTCTAATTTTGATTAATAGTGTCTCTAATGTTAGGATAAAGAGCAGAGGTGACAGTGGACATCCCTGATGAACTCCTTTCATTATTTTAAATATTTTAGTAGAATATTCATTTATTATTTCACTAGCCTTTGGGAGGTATATACTGTTTCTATCATTTTTTCAAATTTGTCTCCGAATTTCATCTCTTTGATTTGTTGAACGCTTTTTGGACATCCAGAAAAACAAGGGTCACTTGTTTCTCTGGATGCACTTCATAATATTCTAATATATTCACTACCGTTTTAATATTGTATGGAGCTTCGGACTTCCGGTTTGTCGGCTTCGCGAGCGGCAGGGATTTGCGAAGCTGCACGATCCCTGCCGCGCTAGCCGTTTTTGGGGCTCCGACCCAGACGGGTACGGAGCTAGGCTGCCCTGCAGGGGCAGCTGAAGGTAGGGGGGATCCGGAGAAGGGTTTGGGGGTTTTGCAGACCCCCTCCCCGGCCGGCAGAACCCCCTTTTCCCAGGACGGTGCAGCGGCGGTCCGTAATGGCCGCCACAAAGAAGCTGGCAGCCGGGTAAGAATGCGCAGGAGGAAGTGGAGAAAGTGCTTGAAAGGAGAAAGTTTTTCTTGGCTCCTAGGACTCTAAGACATATTTAACAAAATTCCTGAAAAGTATGACTTTCTGAATGATACCTTCGAGAAGAGGAAAAAAGCGGCAGTTTAATGGTGATGAAAGGATAGCTTACCCTCTTTTTCTACGGAATAAAAAGTGAATATTAAGAAATCTATTTTTTTTTTAGGTGAAAACTGGCTTTAAGCGATGAGTGGGAAAAGAGAGGACTAAAAAAAAATATTTGTATGCTAAGACTTTGTTGGAGGAGATGCCTTAAGGATTGAAAGACTAAAATATATTGCAATAAGATTTTAAGAAACAGATTTGGACTTTCTTTTTCTCTGATTGATACTACCCTAGGAGGAGAGAGTGGGAATTCTGTCTTGGTTTGGACTGACTAATAATTTTGGGATTGTCTTATTTTTCCTTTGGAATATTCTGACTGTTGTAAGAGAAAAGAAAAGAAAAGATTTATAATGGCTCCTTCTATTGAGGAACTGAGAAAAGATTATGAGCAAGCAAAAAAAAAAATGGTAAAGCTGGTTTGAAAGAAGCCTTCCTTTTTTTAGAAATGGCGCTTATTAACTATCAACAAACATTGCAGCAGATGAAGACAGCAGAAGAAGAAGAAGGAGAGGAAACCATCTTTAATAAATCTCAGAACTCGACCAAGAGGGAAGGAAGAGGGAAGAGAAGAGAAATAAAGGACTTAAGATTTAAAAAAACATTTAAGAAAGGGAAAAACAAGGTGCAAAATCAATATAAGGATGGTAAACAAAAGGGAAGAGGAATACGACAGAGAAGGGAAGCCAGTAAGGCAGAGGCTAGAAGAAGTGGGGCTAGAAAGGTTTGTTGGGGGAAGAAAGAAAGGGAAAAGGTGGAGAAAAGCTACAAAGTTTTGAAATTAAATGGGAAAAAAGGAATTTTTTTTAGGGATAAAGGATAAGTATAATTTCTTCAAAGAGATTTTGCAAGGTACATAAGATGATATGGTAGTATTGTATTAGAAATAGAAAACTTAAATGGCTTAAGAGTTGATAAGAGATTAAAATGTTGAAATGTTAATAATGATTGGTTTTAAAATGTAATATGAGGGGAGATTTAGAATATTGAGCTTTAATTAAAGAGTTTAATAAGATTATGGGATTGATGTTATTATAAAATTTTCATTATAGTATTTGTTTTTAATATTTAGATCTATTGTTTAACTATGTATTTAATTATTTTGGATGTATTATTCAGTTAGAATGTACCAAGCAAAATCGGATTGGGTATTCTAAAGATTAATTTGATTAATTTAGTCGGGAGATAGAAAGGCATCATACTCTGATTAGTGATTTCAGGAGAAATTTCTTTTTTTTTTATAAGGAATGAGACAAAGGTACAATAAAGAATGGACAAAAGATACAAATATAATGACTCAAATTAAGATGATTAATTAAGATAGAATTAAAAAGAGTGAAATATGGGGAGAAGTTAATATAGAAGATTTAGAATGGTAAATAAAATAAGTAATGATATGTAAGATGAGTATGAATACAGTTGAAGTCCATGAAGAAAGAAATACCTGGGTCCAAGTTACTTTCCAAAAAGATCTTTTTTTATGTTTTGTG